GGAATGCCGGTGTTGTACTTGCAGGAACCTGAGAGCAGGGTGTTGTGAAGTGCTCACTTGTCCCAAAACTGGTTTGGCTGTGTGCCACCCTGCAGCAATGATGGTCAGGACCCAAAATGACATTTCCTAATGTGAGAATGTTTTTCTGAAGTTCCTTCCTGTTCTACAGGAGGAAAAGAGAGTTTCAAGTTAGGTTCCCCATTTTCTCAGTGACTTGCTGGTTTCTGAGTCTCCTTGTCTGTCTTGAAATGCAACCTGTGAGTGCTTTGGATTTTTCTGTGACCTCAAAAACTTAAGGAAGAGCACCCATGCAAGTTACATTTGCTATGAATTTAACCCCATTTAATCACAGTCTGTATTGTCACCCAGTAACTACAGTTTAGTAATAAAAAGAAATTAATGTAGTTGGACTAGGACTAAAATCTGAGAATTAAAAGGGAATAACAATGAAGCAACTGAACTGAACATGGGCTATGTCCTGGTTACACTGCTTTATTTCCAAAGTTAGGACTGTTTCTGTGAGCAAGAATGGGAAAATGTGTTCAGTCCAATCTGGCTTCAACCCATTACACACTGATTTAACTTAGTACAAATGTAATTACACAGGGAGGATAATGTAGAAAGATCAATTAGAGAGCAAAGGGCAAATGAAGGAGGGAGACAATTAGAAGTGGTAACTTTTGTAACAGAGCAGATCGTTTTGTCTGACAGGAGAACACAACCACTTCCTTAAGGGTCTGACAGATACAGTGAAAAGGCTCTGGCCACAGCACCATGCTTATCCTGTCCTCTTCTGGCAAGATCTGATCTAGTCAGGAATGTCTCTGCAAATAAACAGCGCTGTGCCTGTCAGCTGCAGAACTCTGCTAAGGACAGTAGAAAGAAGTTAATGGGGCAGAAGGTGATCAACTGGCCGAGCCTAGGCACAACTCACACCTACTCTTAAAACCCAAATAGCAGTTCAGAGTGTTTTTTGGCGGAGATGCGAGGCCCAAGCTGCCACGAAGCCCCACATGTCCTAGCTTCACCCCCGGGGCCGGGCTGGTGGCAGCTGGCTGTGAGCTGATGGCAGCTTGGTGCTCGCTTTCCCACCAGCGCTGGGAACGCTCCGCTGCCTCTTCCCGAATTAATGGTATTTCAGTGAACCCTGCCCTGGGGATAAAGCGATGCTTAAAATAACATCACCCTGCATCTCCCTGATGGTGATCTGACCAGACTGGCTTGAAATCAGCAGCTGCGTAAGTGACACCAGAAGATGGCATCAGCTGCCTGCGATGCTGTTTAACTCTTTCTGGATCTCCAGGCACAAAGGTGGGGTTTTTTTTTGACAATGGAGGTGTTTGTGTTTCAGGGTTGTGTATTTTTTAGTGGGTTCAGGCTTCTGTTGGTTGGTTGGTTG